GTACAAACCAAATTTTTTTTTGGTCCATTATGTGTGGGAGGCCTATTGACAAATTGTTTGGATTGTTTGAAATTTTACTATTTAGTATAGTATTTTACCATTATATTATATTAATATTTAGCATGCTAGCTTTCAATTATATGACACGCTAGGTGTTTCTTTAAATTATATGTCAAGCTTTTTTGTGCCAACACTAGCCTTCTGTTACTATTTTAACGACCAACGAATGGCATGCTAATAATTGCACCGCTTTACTATATATACAAAAACTCTCAGTTCATTGGAATTCTTACTACTGTACATTATGTTTTATTGCTTGTTTACATACTACTGTTTCTCTCATATGTCAGTGCTTGTACTGAAAATAATTTCTCAAGCCAGTGAATTGAGTATAAATAAAGCAATTAAAAAAATGTTTTGAAGTAACAGCTGTCCTTTAAAAAAATTATTAGAATGTGAGTGGACATTATTCAACAGGGCAAATAATCTTGTCAACTGTCATCATAATTTTCACTTCTTGTTTTTTTTTTAAAGTTTAAAGAAATCTTTTTTAAAACAATGATTTTTGTAAAGGACGTATATTGAATGTTTTCACTTGTTTTTTTATCTGGCTCAGTCAGACCCAACTGTTAACTAACCAACTGCTGCTCATCCAAATTTGCATGCTGCTGCAGGTTCACACAGAGGTTTCCCAACAAATTTTAAAACAAAATGTTATTGTTACAGGGGCACTATAGTCACCAAAACAACTTAAGCATAATTAAGTAGTTTTGCTGTATAGGTCATGCCCCTGCAGTCTCACTGCTCAATTCTATACCATTTAGGAGTTAAATCACTTTGTTTATGCAGCCCTAGTCACACCTCCCTGCATGTGACTTACACAGCCTTCCTAAACACTTCCTGCAAAGAGTCATCTTATGTTTCCACTTCCTTTTTTGTAATTTCTGTTTAAATTAGAATTTCATATCTACTGCTCTGTTAATAGCTTTCTAGACCTTGCAGGAGCCTACTGTATGTAATAAAACTTAAATTTACAGAGCAAGATATAACAACTTTTAAAGTAAGTTAATATCTGATTGAAGGGGGGCGGAGCCGAATGCCAGGCATGAACAGTCGCACTGTCACTGCGCTCCGTAGAAACGACAAAAAAACGCTAAAAATCGGAGCCCCCACGGCACAATCAGAGGCACCAAATAGCCCTTGGGGCTATCCCAGCTCAAGAGCAACAGGCTGATGCCTTTTTTGTACTCCCAAACGGGCAGAAAGACCCGACGGAAGACCGGAGCCTACATCGCCTACCAAGCCACGAGATTTGCGCCAGAAACCACAGCGCTAGGAGTGCACCCAGGTGAGTACCTGCTGACAAGTGCCACGACGCCGGACGAATACACCATGGGCCAAAAATCTCAACGACCCACGCACACCACCAGGAGAACCCCGCAGGACATAGGCAACCTGCTGCAGAGGCCAATGGCACCCAAGATGGCGGCCTCACCAGACCACACACCAACCCTCCAAGCTGAAGGTGAGCAATCAGGAGCTGAGCAGGAACTGCCAGCTACTCATCCAAATAGGGGAACACTGGCTACAAGGACAATCTCACACCGGCTACCAAACAAGATATAGCCGACCTGTTAAAAGAAATGAGACAAATGCATGCAGCAGATATTAAACTGCTGAGGACAGAGATGCAGACAGTAACCACGCGTACTCAGGCCGCAGAGGAGGATATCAATTGAGACAGGAGGTAAAGGGGCTAAAAGAACATGTACTGCAAATACAGGCATCCCAATCCAACCTCACGACGAGACTGAACCTTACAGAGGACCGCAACTGACGCACCAATTTAAAACTAAGGGGGATACCGGATAGTGTTGACTCCACAGAACTGCCCCACTATCTCAGACGCCTCACAGCCACACTCCTAACGCATGCGAAAGCCAAAAAATTTGCACTAGACGGCTTTTTTCGGATCAGAAAAGCCAGACAAGCACTGGCCGCAGTTCCACAAGATGTCATCATCCACTGCCACTCAATGGCGGACAAAATCATTTGCCTTGCAGCAGTTAGAGGAAAGACGCCACTTGCATTTGAGTTATCCCACATCACCTTTTACCAGGACTTAACCAGAAACACACTGTCATGGCGCAGGTCCCTAGACCAAGTAACAGGCCAAAATAGACTACAAATGGGCTTTCCCAAGGACTCTGACCGTAACCAAAGATGGCACCATGCACAGTCTCTCATCACTACAGGAGGCCGGGCAGTTTCTGCGCTCACTGGGGATCCACGCCAGAACAGAGCAAGAACCACCCACAACATCACACGCTTGGGACCCAGAGAGAACGACCTAATTTATCCCCAGGAACAAGGAGAACCAGGGAGACCTGACTTAAACTGCAAAAACCGCAGCAAGCAAGCACACAACACATTACTCTGTTGTCTTGTTACTTTATGTTTTACTATACTGCCATTGTTTGTTTGTTTAACCTAAAAATCTACTCATGCTTTACCATAAGTACTACTGTTCCCCCACCAGACGAGACCGAATATGACATGTAGAACGCCATAAGCTCCCGGGAGACTACACCTTCTCCTCCCCACCTCCCCCCCATGACCCACTCGGTAAGGGGTCAAATCCCAACCTATCGGACGAACACGACGGTGCCAAAGGGCTCTCAGAGTGACAACCAGTCAAACAGACACAAGCGAACACACGCTGACACCACACTGACTTCACAGTATCAACCCACAGACATAAACTCCACTAAGGGAAGCCACTCACGCACGCAAGTATCCCCACCAATAACACACGAAGGAGCACAAACACGCAACCGATCAACCCAGGACCGACAACCCCTAAGGTTAACTGCCCCCTACACTAATACTTTCCTAGTACTAGAAAGGGATAGACACAAATCTAATGCCTACCCTCACGCTACCTTAGTTCAACCCAAGTTGACCCGTTATTAGAAAATGTGCAGACTTAGCAGACATCACAACATGGAACTGACAGATAAATGTATGCTTAACAAATTTGTGATGTCATGAAAGGATTGAGAAACCTGGAGGGCTGTTGTGGCCCAACGGGCTGAATTGTAACTGCATTGTAACTGCAATTGCACGGTAAAATAAAGAATTAAAAAAAAAAAAAACATCTGATTGAAAATGAAACCACTTTGTTTTCATGCAGGCTGTTTCAGTCACAGCCAGTGAGGTGTGGCCAGGGCTGCATAAACAGAAAAAGGTAATTTAAACACTTAATGCCAGTGTATTGAGCAATAAAACCTCAGACTCATGATCTATATCCCGTAACTGCTTCATTAAGCTGAAGTTGTTTTGGTGACTTTGTTTTGGTGACTTAGGTGTCCCTTTACGTTTCCAGGTTCTATTTCATGAATGCCCGAAGTTATTTTTCTTCACCAAGTAAGTTTCTACTGTCATGAATGGCAAAGTATTGGGGATGAAGAACCATTTTATAGTACTTAACTGCCAAATTTTGCATCCTTACAATATGTCGAGCCTGCATTTTACAAACAGTTCAATTCACAAGAGAAATGAGTCTCTCAAAGAACAGATCACATTTTCTCAATGTTTATTTGAAACTAAATGTGTGTATTAAACCAACAATTGATTCAACGTTATTCTCATTTTAATGTTTACTAAGAAATTATTAAACCATCAGGTTTTTACCTGCATGCAAGCCGGTTCTTTATCAGTGCAGTGAAGATATCAAGAAACAAGCTGTGCTGTGAATGTTGACAGAAATTTCTTTCATTCTTGTAGTTTACACTAGAAACCAAAGTTTTGTGAGTTAAGAATCCATAACAGAAATATTGTCATTTTACATCAGTTTATTCCTGTAATATATATATTACAAGAATAAGCTGATTTGTTCCAGTAAATCAGCTCACTCATCACCTTTCTTCCTCTTTGTGAGATGCAAACAATAAACGCGTCATACAATTACAATTATTCATATAACGCCAACATATTCAGCAGCGCTGTATATTAGGTAAACAACAACAAACACTTCTAACAAGAGACAATTCACATACTGGAACAGTATGTAAACAACACAGTAGGCAAACAACACAAACAATTCTAACAAAACACAATTAACATACTGGAACAGTAGTTGAAGAGGGCCCTGGCCAAATGAGCTTATATTTTAAACAATCTTATGAATGGGGCATGGAAGAATATCCTTTCGTTCATGAGTTTATTTTTCCATGATGCTGTTTGCATAGTCGGAATTTGGACGAATTGACAAATGAGCCATTTTTCATTTAAATTGCGATTTTTCCGAAAATTAAGTATATTTTTTATTGTAAAGGATAGGTTAGCCGAGTTATTTTCTATTTTTATGTTTAGATATCTTTGTTTTATCAAATAGCGACATATGCATATCAAGCATAGTTGTCATGAGTTACAACCAAAATTCTGTCAATCCATTAAAAAGATTATCATTCTTTTTATTCCTGCATCACTGGATTAATATGGCTAACATTTCAACTGCAATAATAAGATAGCAATGCATTGTTTAACAAAATAGATCCACTATTGCAGTTTGGTTTGGCTCTGTTTCTGGCTCATTTCTTTATGTCTCTGCACCACTTCCTCTTTCAAACAACAAAAATGTTGTTTCTTAGGTTCCCTTCATTCAGCTGGTAGAGATGAGCAAATCGACTTGGGTCTCACAATGTGTATTTCAAGTTCATAAAGCCAGATTGGAGATAATGTATGTGAGAATGTTTTATGGGTATGTTATTGTGTCTGAGATGAGTGTGTCGGTTAAAGAGTGTGAGTGTGTATGTAAAAGGGGAATATGAGCCATGGGGTGTCACAGTGGAATTTAAATTATGGGGAAGAGTTTTGCTTTCATTTTGCAATATCGGCAAATGAACATCCATTTAAAGGTTAGAAAATGATTGGTGCCTCTTTACTAAACGAGATACATTGTATTTTCTATTTATAAATTATAAAGTGATTTGGCTTACCTGAATTTTTCAAGTTCAACAGCTTCGGTTGATTCCTGCCATTGACTTCGGCTTTTGAGTTCATTCGTTTTTCCTAACTTCGACTGAGTTTTGGGAGAACTGTTGACTTTTAAGGCTGGAAGCTGTCAATAAAAAACAATACGCATTCCAAAACACATTTTCTCATTTAACACAAAGATACAATAATTATAAAATAATAATATATGTATATAATATTATGGCAATAATTACAGTATATGATTACAAAGCTTTCCCAAAGTCCATATGGACTGACCAAAAGAGTTGTCTTGTGTCTAATCATAAGCATATAGAAGTGTTTTTTGCCTGCTCATACAAGCAGATGCTTGTTGCCAAGAAATTTTATATAGATAAAATGTATAGAAGCATCTTGAGCCTGGCCAATTTCTGAGATTTGTGACCTGGAATTTAAAATGTAAGCCAAATTAGTAAATAATTTTGTTGCAAACAAAATAGTATAATAGATAGCTAAATAAATGAACACATACCGGTAACTAGCTATATTTTTTTTATCAAGAAAGTGTTTAATCAAGAAGAATATGTTGAGATTTCTCTAATGTTTTTTTCATATTTAAAGTTTTTATTTATTTTCAGAAAAAGTAAATTGGGATACAGAATTCAAAAAGGGAAGGGGAAGACATGACCAATACATCTGTTAGTTCCAAGTACATGGCATGAGCTGAAATGTTGGATACACATTTACACAGCATTAGATAACAACATCTTTTAGTTATGCGCTCTTACATGTCGGGCTCAACAGGTCCAACTGTCAGACAACAGTGGTCCTATGTATGACTCTATGTTACGTTAAACCTTCGTTAGATTACAAGCATTGATACATATTGACTATTTGGTGGGGTTGATGCGTCGCACCTCTCTAAGAGTGTACGGGTTTCCAGGGACATAGCCCTTGTGTTGGAGTATTATGTGACAATTCCGCCTCCAACCCAGTGTCTCAGGAGAGTATGGTAAGAATGATGGAATAGGTTTGGACCTGTACTATATTTGCCACCAGCTCTTGTGCCATTTGTGCGTTGTCAGGGAAAGGAGATCGGGGGTAGGGGAGGTTTGGTCGGTGCGCTTTATGTAGTATGTGTGTATGGTATTCTGTCTAAGTCATCCTCAGCTAGCAACATTTTTGTGCTCAGCCGGTGCCCTGATATTCAAGTTCGAGGTGAGTGTGGTGTCATACCCATTCTTATTTTCTCATAAGGGGAACGGTCTTCGATTCACCAGTATGTCTTAGGGCTTTGGGTGGCCCATTAGGGCAAGCCATGATTTCCACAGACGTTCCATCTGTCTCGTTTTCTCATATGAGTCAGAGGAAAGCACCTCATATCTGTAGTATTGGTATATCTTATCTATCAGTTCCTTGTTTGAGGGGCAGTAGGTGCTTTTCCAATGTTGAGTGAGGAGGTTTCTCGCTGCCAGTATGACAAGCGAGGCCAGTTTTTTAGCTTCCCTCTTCCATGTAGTTGGGAGTAGCATCAGAAGTGCCACTGACAATGTGAGAGGTAGTGAGTGAGATATTGTTTTATTTAGTATCTTTTGTACTTGTATCCATAGAGGCTTAATCTCGCTACATTCCCACCAAATGTGGGTCATGGTGCCTTTTTGGGAGTTACATCTCCAGCATTTAGGGTCTACAGCAGGGTATATTTGATGAAGCCGTTGTGGGGTAAGATACCAATGGTATACTACCTTTTTGTGAGCTTCCACATGTGAAAAGCAGGACGTAAGACCTTTAAGAGCATTAAGTGACTGGAGCCACTGTTCATCCATGAGTTTGGGCATTCCTTCCTTTTCCCATTGGGTCACGTATTTGAAGGAACGAGGCAGTGTATTATCCAAGAGAGTTTTATAGCAAAGGGATAGGGTTTAGTAGGAGCAGAATGACATCTTTCGATAAGTGATAATGCGGAATTCGCTTGTGCCGTTGTTGTTTGGGACTGTAGGGTCACTTTAGTGTGTAGTATGCTTTTCAATTGTAGGTACTGGAAAATAAGAGAGTTAGGTAGCCGGTATTTTCTCTGTAAATCAGGGAAGGCTAAGATCTTCGCTTGAGAGCAGAGATCTTTAATATGGTTGATGCCGTAGGTAATCCAAGGTTTCAGTGACAGCCACGGTGACACTCCTTCCAATGCCCCCAGGGGAGCATGTGTGCAGAATTTTCCTTTCTCAGACATGGTGGCATGTAGTTTGTCCCAAAGTTTTATTGTTAGTGTAGTGGTGGGGTAGAGCAAGAGCCCTTACGTTCGGAATAATTTTGGAGACCACATTGTGTTCATCATGGAGTGTGGAAGTATTTTGTCCTGTTCAATGTTAACCCATTGGAACGGATGTCTGGGAGCATGGAGCCGTATAGCGTATTCAAGAATGGCGGCCTCAGTAGGTAACCAATTTCGGGAGGCCTAAACCACCTGCCGCCTGAGCGAGTTGGAGTAGGGAGAGAGGCAATCGCGGTTTTGTTTTGAGATTTCTCTAATGTTTTAGGCATATTATAAGGAGCATAAACAATGAAATAGTTACAGTGTTTTATATTTAAAACACGTAAAAATAAGCATTATTCATACATAAGTAATACATAATTAATTTTAATGATTAATACATGATTAATAATGGTAATACAATAAGCATTACTTGTTTTTTGTGTGGTTATAGATAATGTATTGAGAACATTTCACAAATACCTGATAAAAGGACTCTCTATGCTAAATATGACAGATTTAGAGAATACGTGCATCTGTTACTCTTTCATCACTACTTTGCAGTTGTCTAAACAGTTTTGTTAACATTTAAATATAAATACCTTTTTTGATTTCTTGAATTTCTTTAAAATAGCAGCTCATCAGTCTGTTATTTCTCTACAGATCTTAATCAGTTTCCAATTTGGAAGCTGGGTGAGAGAAACAATGAGCCTCCAAGAGAATCATTACTTCAGCACTACCAAAATCAGTCTATTGCAGATCTGGAGCAATGAAAGCCCTATAGCCCTGTACACAAACAGCTTTTACAAACTGAATACCTGCAAAAGATCAATGGCTACATTCCACTTCTTCATAAGATCAACCTTTAGATCAATGTCAAACTAAATGTCCCATTTCCTTCTCTTACCAGAGATGTCTCCACTGACCGTCATAATACACCTGGTGCATATTTCCATGTTGCAAGGTTTTAATACACAATGGTTGCAACAGGACACAATTGCAATAAATATTAGCACACATAGCCTGAAATTAAATGGTTTAAAGTTTTGCCTCAAATAAGATGCATTCCCCAAGGAGGCAAAAAACATATATAAGGTTATAACCTGCATTACTCTTCAGAGTCCTAAACTGGATTCCTGCTCTGCAGAAGACAGTCTCTCCCTATAGATTACCCTCCTACAGAGCACCTATATTATAGCACTGGATGAAACTTGAATCTCCGGCCTTCCTTTTCGGCTACGAGAGCCCTGGGGTATCCCCATTTGTAGGAGATAGATGCTGCTTGCAGGCGAGATGTCACTTCCTTCAGCGTCGCACGCCACTTTAGGGTCGGTCGGTTTAGATCTTGGAAAAAGGTTAGAAAATGTCACCGCGAGACCTAAAGCACATGATGACATCTCTTGGTGTCTGGGACTTAGAGTGTGACTTGCCAGGAAGGCGAAAAAGTCCCTCAAGTTGAAGTCCCTTTACGTTAAAGCTGTGGAGAACAGTCTTTGGATAAATTATGGCAGCTCAGCCGGATTGATAGTGTCCCCAGTACCTATAAGTTGTACAGTCAAACGCTAGTTGCCCGATTCTGTCACTGAGGTTCTCACAGGTAGAGTTGTCGTTATTTATTTGTGTTGTAGAGGTGTCTTGATGGAGTCTTAGGTCATGGATATATTCTTCTGTGGTCTTGATTCGGCCTGTCAGCATGTCCAGGTCCTCCCAAAGCACTCCTATTTCAGAGGTGAAGGACTTTAGGTCTTAGACCATGGTTGCACGGTCTGACTTTGAGGCCAGTGAGGGTTCAGGCTGTCACTGGCCCTGTCCCCGGCGTTTGAGGGGTGGGAATGGAACTTCCAAGAGATCAAGGTCCTCTTCGTCCGAGGCCGTAAGCGAGCCCTGAAACAAGCCTGGCCTGTGATCTGCCACCTTGGGCCTACTCGGCTGAGTAAGCAGCAGGCCTATATCTCTGGTTTGCCCTTCACTGGGCCCCCGAGACTTTCCCCTTGGTGTGTTGGAGCTTCTGGCCATCCCGTATGTCTCTGCCCAGTGTGTAAAGCTACCCAAAGTTGAGGCATTAGCAAGAAGCAGCGGGAGCTAGTGGGGCATTTGTCTGCTTAGCTCCGCCCCCCCAATTTATTTTTCTTTTCAGAATTGCAAAATACAAATTGTCAAATTAAAAAATACCAGACAGCCAAAACAGACATACATACAGACAGACATACATATGGAAGCAATTCTCATCATGTCTCTCCCTGGTTGTCTTCTTCATACAAGCTCAACTCATACTACTCTCAGTAGCTGAGTACTAGCAGAGAGGCAGAGGCCAGTGAGGGGAACACACTATGTGAAAAGGGGAGGCTTGGCTAAGTTTTACTTTTTAACAAAATACATTTGAAAAGGGAGAAAAATACCTCAGAATTATACAACTAAAACCAAGGGGGAATGAAAGATGCCAGTTCTCATATAAATTCCATTACTTCGTGCTTTTTTTTCATAAGTGAAGTAAATATGCCAAAAGGCAGATTTAGGTATTTTTTGTGAGAATTACTGCTAAAGGCATGTTTGTGTATTTTTTATTTTGGGTATTAGTAAGCTGTGAATTTAAATAAAAATCCACATTTTATGTATATTATCACATTTTTATAATTATTTTGATTCAGAGTGAAAAAAGTTAAATGGTTGCATTCCATTTCTTGTTCTATAGCATTTACTTATGTTTCCCCACAATATCCTCCCTTCACAGAGTACATTCTATATCTCCCCTTAATCTCTTACCACTCAGCAAACTGAAATTGTATCAGGTTAGCTACTAAGCTTTAAACAGTCCAGATTGCTGAGATGGTAATATAGCTGATTTAAAGAATCATTCCAATTCAATGTTATTGTGAATAACCACGTTATATCAGAAATAGATCATTAAAAAAAGGTTTATTTTAAGTATATATATAAGCATTATTACCAAAATCAAACAATTAAAATTAAATTAAAACAAAGCTAAATTAAAAACCATCAAAAAATAAACAAAATATGATCAATAGAATTAATTTTTTTCTTGAGACACGTAAATTATTAGCACAGTTCCCGTAGCCAGACTTAAATTAATAAAATGTTGTCCCTCCTAAGTATTTTTCTTCATAAAAAGAGTTAACAAAAATTTGCAAAATAGAAGTCTTTAGAGTCACAATGCAATTCAAAATTAGACATGCTCAAACCATGTTAATATCTTAAAAATCTTCATGAATCTTCATGAAACATTGCTATTGACTGCATTGGAATTTCAAGCTAATCAAAAAAAATCATAAGTCAAAGTAAGGACATACCAATTTTTTTGGAACCTTAGTGCACTAGGTTCTGAAACATTGCCAGATCCATTCAGTTGGATGTTTGGTTGAATAATAATCACACTGAATAAATGGAGCGCAAAGTCATTATATATTTTACTGCTTCATTGGGTCTTGTGGGAAAGAGCCCTTCAACCCCCAGCACCTAGAAATCAAGTGAGTGCCTCTATAAACTAGACATGTGCAATAAAATTCGGCCGAATTTCGGGTAAGTCGGACATTCGGGTGCTTCCGAATGTCCGAATAGCTGAATTGCTGAAGTGCCGAAGTGCCGAAGTGCTGAATTGCCGAAGTCCCGAAGTGCCGTAATTACCGAATTTCCGAAGTGCCGAATTGCTGAAGTGCCGAATTTCCGAAGTTGCCGAAGTTCCGAGGTGTCAAAGTACTAAAGTTCTGAAGCACAGAATTACTAATATACTTACCCAGTGAAAGAAGAAGAATGTTACACTGTATATAATTTCAAATAAAAAGTATGCAAACATAGACAGGATTCAGCTGTAAGCATTTGCAACACTTACAACAATCAAGTAACATACATTCATATAAAATGTAAGTTACTTAGCCAGTCATGTAATGACAGGAATGAATAAGTAGATAACTCCCTAATTCCCACGGTATTAGGGAGCTATCTACTAAAAGGCTGAAAGACCTAAATTGGTCTTTCAGCCAAATTTACTAATACTAAGTAAAGATTACCTAGTATTAGTAAATTATGCCCCTACTCGCTATACCGCTATGCCCCTACTCGCTATACTTAATCCACCAATCAGAGAGTTATGAGTTAAATTACACAGCGTGGGAAAATTCCAAAGAACTCTCCCACGCTGTGTAAAATGACACAGAACACTCTGATTGGTGTATTTCAAACCAACCAATCAGAGTGCTGTGACAGGTAAATGTAGAGACTTACCTGTCAGTCTCTTCATTTACCTGTAAGAGCACTCTGATTGGATGGCTTAAACCCACCAATCAGAGTGATCTGAGCCTAATTGCAGGGTGGGGCAAGGCTTTATAAGCCTTCCCCTGCTCTGCAGAGCTCAGTCTGCGCGGAGCCCTCCATGGGTGAAGATGGATTTTTTTTTTTTGCGCTTATTTTTTTTTTTTTTTTTGATTCGGTTATTATGGATTTTTATTTGGCCTTTTTTGGGGCTGAAAAAATAAGATTTTAGAAGAAAGAAAACATCAAATGGTAAGTTTATGTTTATTTTTACAGGTACTTAGTTAAAGGTCCCCCCTCATTATTTTTAGGGTGAGGGGGGCAGGTAGGGGGTTATTTTTATGGTAAGGGGGTGACTAGGGGTTTGGGAACCCCTGTCACCTGGGGGGGAGTGGGGTCAAATTTTCATTTTGGGCCCCCACCCACCACTCAGGGGTGGGGGCCAGGGTGGAGGACATTAGGTCCCCCCCCAATTTGTATTTAGGGCCCCGACCCACCGCTCAGGGGTGGGGGCCGGGGGGGGAGGACATTAGGTCCCCCCCTTATTCTTGTTTGGGGCCCCCACCCACCGCTCAGGGGTGGGGGCCAGGGGGGAGGACATTAGGTCCCCCCTTATTCTTGTTTGGGACCCCCACCCACCACTCAGGAGTGGGGGCCAGGGGAGAGGACAATAGGTGTCCCTCCTAATTTTTATTTAGGGCCCGCACCCGCCACTCAGGGGTGGGGGCCCGGGGGGAGGACATTAGGTCCCCCCCTTATTCTTGTTTAGGGCCCCCACCCACCGCTCAGGTCTTTCAGCCTTTTGGTAGATAACTCCCTAATACCGTGGGAATTAGGGAGTTATCTACCAAGCGGCTGCAAGAAAAGTCCCGAAATGCCGGAGTTCCGAAGTTGCCAAAGTTCCGAAGCTGCCGAAGTTCCGAAGTTGCAAAGTGCCAAAGTTCCGAAGTGTCTAAGATCCGAAGTGCAGAAGATGTCGAAGTTCCGAAGTGGCAAAGTTCCGAAGTGGCGAAGTTCTGAAGTGCCGAAGTTCTGAAGTGCCGAAGTGTTCAAGTGCCGAAGTTCCGAAGTGTCGAAGTGCCGAATTGCCAAAGTGCCGAATTGACGAGGTCCCGAATTTCGGAATGCCGAACTGAGCCGAATATTTTCCCCATGCACATGCCTACTATAAACATTGTTAGTTCTTTGTCTTATGGATGGTACCTCATGTGGAATCTTCCACAGACCTCTGTTTTGTACTCTTGCCCTGAAACGTACAGCAGCAACATAGACTCCTGACAAATGAATCACCAGCAGTTGACAGTAGATTCCAGAAAAATACGTAATTAATGCACAAGTGACATTTCAAGGTTAGACAATAGGTAGACCACTGGCTATTGTAGAACTATGACTACTTTATTAGTGGTTGAATATCTCATTCAATATTTCAGAGATAATTTTCTTAACACTCATATTCCAATAAAGGCTCTGAAACCACACATTGCAATTTACAGTCGCTACAAACATCAGGTGGAACTTAGAAAACTATCATGACTGCAGGTAAAGTATTACACCCAGGGATGGTTCTAGACTAAATGTTATTATGTAAGAAGACTTTTTTTTCTTCAAAAAGGGAACAGCTTACACAGAGAGAACCATCGAGTCCTTCTCCACCTCAAACCCTTCCCACTCGATTACAGCTCAATTCTCCTAATCCACTATGTACTTTTCTTTACTACAAATTCTCTCTCCGTTACAGATACCCCCAGTCCTAATTGCACAAATTATAAACACCATCAATATGGTAGGCATTTCACTTGAATCACCTGGTCTTAATGAGTAAGAATCTCATTGTGAATTACAAAGAACACATATACATCTTCGTGAAGTCCCACAGGCTGCTGTCTTGGCAACCTTGTACAAATACCAGCCAGGAATGCATCCTCTAAACAAAAAATGAATTGAGTGTATTTTGTATTTGTTTTGGATATGAAAAGAATGTTAACCTTGTTTAAAGACTTAGTTGGAATATATAGAAAGGATTTCTAATATTTATAATGAAGGGATTAAAAGTAAATACATATAAAACCATGTAATTTTGTTACAAATATTGAACGAAAAATTTTAGGCTCTAAATTTGTATGCAATATTAGTTTTGAAAAAAAAAAAATCAAATGAATCAGTACCACACTAAATCTTACCTCATGTTTGTTTCCCTGGACATGTAAAAGAGACCAAAGTTTTTTAACATCAAAGTTTTTCCTAAAATGCAAACATATGCACTATTTAGTTAATTTAAATTGCCGAGATTTAAACAGGTTAACATATTGGTACACAATAATTTATTAGTCTACTTTTTTCCAATCCAATTAAATTATTTCTTAGAAATATGAAAATTAGATTATCTGATTAAAAAATAACTTTTTTCCATTTGCCAGGTTTTTGTCATTGTTAGCTCTCAAGCGTTTGTCTGTGCTACAGTCATTTAAACTACGTAACATACGAATCTTATATAAAAGTCAAATATTTCAGGAGACGATAATGGCAGTCATAATTTAAGACTAAAATATGTTTTACAGAAACATATTTTCCCATAATCACCTCCAGAAGTACCTCTGGAGACACTAACAGGGTTATTTACTAAAGTGAAAATTCAAAGTGAATTTCAAATTTAAGGCCAAAGCAACTAAACTGGAAGCATAGCTGAATTTTTCTAGTTCGACCTAAAATGTGCAATTCACTTTGAATTTTCACTTTAGTGAATAACCAAGTTAAAAATGAACTATCATCTAGAAGTGAAAGTTCCTCCCATCTCTACCCCAGAAATATCTATTGCAATGTTTACCGGGGTGAATAAAAGCAGCAAACCGCGACGAACTTGGACGTAAAACTTGTCCCACATGAACCGCCCTATCGTCTAGCATCTAGACCCCCTCTCAACCTACACACACAGCACGCTGTAGATCCGCATACACATTTGGAACGCAGAGACCTGCGAGTCTCACAGTTATACCTCACTACCCTACGTAACTCACAAAACCACACCTTGGGTCACACACACACCCTAACGCAAGACAAAACAAGGCAAAGTAATAAAGTAAACTGGAAGGGAGTGGGGAGGTGGGAATACGGAATGGGAGGAAAAAGGGAAACAAAACTTTTACAGTGCAAAAACTGTACAGGACTCCCGCTTCCGATCTGTATCTTTTGGTGTACTGTACAATGTCTAAAATATTGTAATAACGCAACTATGTAATTTCGTCCTGTCAAACAATAAAAAAGATTTGCCAAAAAAAAAAAAAAAAGCAGCAAAGGTAAGTAAAAAACTTAATTCCAGGGGGTGGGCAGAAGAGGCGGGGGGGTAACCTGGCCGGACCACCATGCTGTGAGGATGCAAGAACAAGCAGCTCCTGCAGTCTTTTAATTATTAAGCTCACCACAGTGATTAACTTGCCTATGTAACACCTGGAAATTGCGGTCCACGTTGCAGAGCAGTACTGGTTCAGAGGATAAGCTTGCAAATAGCCTTTTGGTCTCTGCGAGGGAGATCCTTGATCCACGTGGCTGAGGCCTATTCTGGCAGTGAGTGGGGTGGACGGCCGCCGCCTTGCTATCCTCCCCAATTGCAGCAGATCAGCTCCTCGGTCCCACACCATGCTGGCCCCCCGCACCCTGTTAGGAGCAGCGGAGGTGATCCCGGTCCTCACCTTGGGGGGCCCCAGTGCTACTAACAACCCAGAGCTGCTGAAAGCAACTCGAGTGGCAGAGAAGCCTCACAAAAATGGCGGATGCTGCATGTCAGAACAACAACAAGGAGCATGCTGATTTCCCCTTGCCTGCCTAGGTCTCTGTGGGCTCTTGGAACTATTTGATACAGCACCTCGGCCTAATTGTGAGTTGGGAGCGGATTGACCACCCATCGCACAACCTACCAGCAGGGTTCCAACACACGGCTCCGGTCCGGGAGCTAGCCCAAATAGGGATGCGTTGTCAGAGACATCCAAGTATTGCTGCCACACTGCATGACCCAAGTAGATAAAGGATCAGCGCTGCATGATCTAATGGGGGCTAAAGACAGGTGGAAAGCTGCAACCTATAAATATGAGGTTCCCTCTAAAATCCTCAAGGAAGAAATGGCAAAACAGAAGTAATAGGTCGCGCTACAGGAAAAATAATTACAAATGGAAAAGGATAAATATAATGTACTCACATACACTAACAAACATAAATGAAAAGAAGTATATAGATAATAGTCCAAATACTTGGTATACTTCCTATGAGTTCCAATGGGTATATAAAGACTTGAATGAATGGTAGTCTCAATACTTTATGTGTTTCTTACGAGTTCCAATAGGTATATGAAGACTTTGATGAATGGTGTATCCAATAGGAGACTGGATCCTCTAATATTGGGGGAGTCTTGACTCGGTGATAAACATAGAAATAGAAGAACAGAGACGATCCCATCTCTACCCCAGAAATATCTATTGCAATGTTTACCGGGGTGAATAAAAGCAGCAAACCGCGACGAACTTGGACGTAAAACGTGTCCCACACGAACCGCCCTATCGTCTAGCATCTAGACCCCCTCTCAACCTACACACACAGCACGCTGTAGATCCGCATACACATTTGGAACGCAGAGACCTGCGAGTCTCACAGTTATACCTCACTACCCTACGTAACTCACAAAACCACACCTTGGGTCACACACACACCCTAACGCAAGACAAAACAAGGCAAAGTAATAAAGTAAACTGGAAGGGAGTGGGGAGGTGGGAATACGGAATGGGAGGAAAAAGGGAAACAAAACTTTTACAGTGCAAAAACTGTACAGGACTCCCGCTTCCGATCTGTATCTTTTGGTGTACTGTACAATGTCTAAAATATTGTAATAACGCAACTATGTAATTTCGTCCTGTCAAACAATAAAAAAGATTTGCCAAAAAAAAAAAAAAAAGCAGCAAAGGTAAGTAAAAAACTTAATTCCAGGGGGTGGGCAGAAGAGGCGGGGGGTAACCTGGCCGGACCACCATGCTGTGAGGATGCAAGAACAAGCAGCTCCTGCAGTCTTTTAATTATTAAGCTCACCACAGTGATTAACTTGCCTATGTAACACCTGGAAATTGCGGTCCACGTTGCAGAGCAGTACTGGTTCAGAGGATAAGCTTGCAAATAGCCTTTTGGTCTCTGCGAGGGAGATCCTTGATCCACGTGGCTGAGGCCTATTCTGGCAGTGAGTGGGGTGGACGGCCGCCGCCTTGCTATCCTCCCCAATTGCAGCAGATCAGCTCCTCGGTCCCACACCATGCTGGCCCCCCGCACCCTGTTAGGAGCGGCGGAGGTGATCCCGGTCCTCACCTTGGGGGGCCCCAGTGCTACTAACAACCCAGAGCTGCTGAAAGCAACTCGAGTGGCAGAGAAGCCTCACCAAAATGGCGGATGCTGCATGTCAGAACAACAACAAGGAGCATGCTGATTTCCCCTTGCCTGCCTAGGTCTCTGTGGGCTCTTGGAACTATTTGATACAGCACCTCGGCCTAATTGTGAGTTGGGAGCGGATTGACCACCCATCGCACAACCTACCAGCAGGGTTCCAACACACGGCTCCGGTCCGGGAGCTAGCCCAAATAGGGATGCGTTGTCAGAGACATCCAAGTATTGCTGCCACACTGCATGACCCAAGTAGATAAAGGATCAGCGCTGCATGATCTAATGGGGGCTAAAGACAGGTGGAAAGCTGCAACCTATAAATATGAGGTTCCCTCTAAAATCCTCAAGGAAGAAATGGCAAAACAGAAGTAATAGGTCGCGCTACAGGAAAAATAATTACAAATGGAAAAGGATAAATATAATGTACTCACATACACTAACAAACATAAATGAAAAGAAGTATATAGATAATAGTCCAAATACTTGGTATACTTCCTATGAGTTCCAATGGGTATATAAAGACTTGAATGAATGGTAGTCTCAATACTTTATGTGTTTCTTACGAGTTCCAATAGGTATATGAAGACTTTGATGAATGGTGTATCCAATAGGAGACTGGATCCTCTAATATTGGGGGAGTCTTGACTCGGTGATAAACATAGAAATAGAAGAACAGAGACGATCCCATCTCTACCCCAGAAATATCTATTGCAATGTTTACCGGGGTGAATAAAAGCAGCAAACCGCGACGAACTTGGACGTAAAACGTGTCCCACACGAACCGCCCTATCGTCTAGCATCTAGACCCCCTCTCAACCTACACACACAGCACGCTGTAGATCCGCATACACATTTGGAACGCAGAGACCTGCGAGTCACACAGTTATACCTCACTACCCTACGTAACTCACAAAACCACACCTTGGGTCACACACACACCCTAACGCAAGACAAAACAAGGCAAAGTAATAAAGTAAACTGGAAGGGAGTGGGGAGGTGGGAATACGGAATGGGAGGAAAAAGGGAAACAAAACTTTTACAGTGCAAAAACTGTACAGGACTCCCGCTTCCGATCTGTATCTTTTGGTGTACTGTCAAGACTCCCCCAATATTAGAGGATCCAGTCTCCTATTGGATACACCATTCATCAACGTCTTCATATACCTATTGGAACTCGTAAGAAACACATAAAGTATTGAGACTACCATTCATTCAAGTCTTTATATACCCATTGGAACTCATAGGAAGTATACCAAGTATTTGGACTATTATCTATATACTTCTTTTCATTTATGTTTGTTAGTGTATGTGAATACATTATATTTATCCTTTTCCATTTGCAATTATTTTTCCTGTAGCGCGACCTATTACTTCTGTTCTACACTGCATGACCCACCTAGTATCCCACATCTTGCAGTCGTCAGGGAGGCCAGTGCGCCGTGGATGGGACCAGTGCCCTCAGCCAGACTCTTCCTCTACATCATCTGGATGCTGCTCTGGCCTTGGCTGGGGCTGTGGTATGCACCAGCAACAGAAACACAGTGGGACTGTGCAGAGCCACTTACGCTGACTCTCTTTCACTCACTACCAAGCCTATGATTAACATTCTATGTTTATTGCTAACTTGTTTAGTATTACTTTATAATTCTCACTATGCATTCCCATTAGCATCCTACTCCTTAAGAAATGTGTATTTCATAGCTATCACTTTGGTGCGGGATCCGCTGGGTGACATATATTTCAGCATGTTACTAAAGCTACTTAACTTCTTTTAACTCACTCTCAGTGCATAAGCCTTTACAACAGGCTTCTCCAAACTCCGGCCCTCCAGATGTTGCTGAACTACAAGTCCCTTGATTCTCAGCCTATCTATTTCATTCATAGAATCATGGGATTTGTAGTTTAGCAACATCTGGAGGGCCGGAGTTTGGGGAAGCATGCTCTACGAGTTACTAGTGTTTCGTTGACAAGCCTAGCACTGTGTTAATTTAGTCAATTTTTATGTTTATTACTCACAAGCTAAATTAGTACATACAACTTACTCACGCACTGAGCTAACGTTTTCTTTCACATGAACTATATCTTCTCTTGTTTCAACTTGAATAGTTATATAAAAATGTGCAGTGTTCTCAATACCACAAAGATGTTTTACTATGTATACTACTATGTTTGCTCCAGTTGTTGTGGTAAAGCAAACTTGCTTGTTTAACCTATGCCCAAATAAAATAAAGAGTAAAAAAAAAAAAAAAAATTAATTCCACTGCATTATCAAATTGCTGCAGCACAACATCATCATCAACTTATGGGGACTACAGAGTCAAGTCTCCAAGAAACACAGTATGACAGTCTGTTACTGCCGTGTCCTGTTTTTGTCCTCTGGTGTCCTACCTATTGGGATACAGGAATAAAATCACCAGGAAACATTACATTTCATTAAATGTGCTTTCAAAAAAGGGGTATTTTACCTATGCAACAGCAATTCAGTAGGGCTCTGCACATGGGTTGCCCTGAAAATACACCGAATTCTCATGCTCACTCTAATGGGAGAAGGAGGGGGCAGACATTTCTAGCCCCTCCCTCTCCTAGTGTGTTACTCTGCATATAAATGTCTGGGTCCATTTTTTGTCTCAGTTGCAACACGGTCCAAGTTATTACACCACACTTTAAGATCCCATGCAGACACACATCTATGAATTAACAGGAAACTAACAAACCTTGCTGTAGTTCCTTGGATTTTGTTATCACGTGTCTTGTCATTTTTTTTCCCTTTTTCATCTTGATCAGGCATCATAGAACCTCAATTCTAAAAATCAGATTTCTCATTCCTGTAAGATAAAAATATGATCATTGTGAATATATTTCATTGATTTGTTTTGTTACTACTTTAAAATAAATCAGAGAGAGCAAAAAATCAAACAAGTATTTAGGAAATGAAACACATGAGAAACCTAACAATTTGTTCTTAATAAGGAAGGACCGCTAGCCACTTGGAAAAGTTAAATTATGCAACGTTGTGTCCCCCCCTCCCTTTTTAAAATGGAATCTAAATGCTTCATTGTGTTACACAGTGCTGATGCAAGCAGAGACAATCTCCAGACACTCACAAACTACACATTTCGTAATAAACTTTACTTTATCAAGTCTAGCAACAACTTGCCATTACTGTATATGTTAATACTCCTTTGTTACAGACAACTTATGGGATCAGTGGCAGAATAAACGTGGAGAGGGCCCTGGTGGAAGATCGGCGCTTCTTTTGCAAGGGCAGACAAAAATTAGATCTCCATCTCCCATACAACTCACATAATGCTTTGCCAGCTTGTGATCTAATATTTGCCCATCCCTGCAGGTTTGTATTTAGCACTGAGCAGTGTAAGTTTGTTTGATTGTATGCATATTTTTGCATGGACTATGTGTGAGTGAATGTAGGAGTGTGTTTATATGTAGTGTTGGCGTTTAAGTGCTGGTGTGCATTTGTATGTAGTTTTGGCATTTGAATGCTGAGATGTATACACATATACATATATACTGTCACACATATTAATATACATACATACATACATACATGCAGATACAGACACACAGTTATACATACTGACACACATCGACACACACATATACATACACTTACCACATCCAGATAAACAGACACGTTAACACATCTACAGATACACAGACACACAGATACACACACTGACACTTATGCAGACAGACAGACAGACAGACACATATATAAAAACAGTGACACACATACAGATACACCAACACACATAAACACACACTGGCACACACATATACACAGACACACATATACAAACACTAACATACATGCAGATACACATATGCACACACTGACACAAGTACAGCTAATCCTTCTCCGACAAAATCATTAGAAGATCTGTAATGATCTAGGCACCCGTAAAACCGGAATAAAAAAATCACATAGCGGCGTTGTATATTTGGACAGACCGAATTGAACGCAAATTAGAGGTTATGTGAATGACCAGTCATCACCTATTTCCTGTGTGTGAATGTAAGAATCACAACTCCAATTAGAAAATTTACAATTTGCAGATTTAGAAGATAGGAGTAGAAGAAATAATATACGAATTCTCAACATACCTAAATCCATTAAACCAAATGAACTATCTGACTATGTAAAAGGTGCCATACATTTGGTTGTACTAAACATAAGTGAAACAGGAATCATTGACAGATGTCATATGATTTTAAAACCTAACTCAGCACCAGAGACACAATTGCCAGACAAAAAAATTCACATCAAAAAAAATGTTATGATCAAACTAAGAATAGGATTTGAATTACCAAACAAATTCAAGCACTTGAAAATTTTTGAAGACCAGTCAAGTGAGACACTAATGCACAGACGTGAATTCAAAATTTTGCTTAAGGGACTTTAAAACAAACAAATCAAATATAGATGGGGATTTCCCATACAAATTGTATTCATATATGAAGGCTAGAACTACACCATAAACACGCCAGAAGAAGAAGATTTTTTAACAGCTTTAAACAATGGAGAACCCTTACCACCGAGGATTTCAAGAAAATTAGAAAAAAGACACGTACCTGGAAATTAACAACCAAAATATTATATGTATATTATTTCCCAGAGTTCTACAATAGTTATTTTATTTTCAATTATTTTTAAATATTAGATTAGATTATTAATATAGTTAATTTTCCGTTTCTGCTATGTTCATGCTTTAGGACTAACTCTGACTATGGACTCAAGACCTACTGGGATTATTGATTAATGCCTTTTTTCTTCATTTTTCTTCATTGGATTTTAAGGCATGATGTCCTGTCATACTGAACTTCAGCGTTTTTTGCTAAGATTTTCTTTTTTTTAATGAAGATGCAGGATTATTGCTGGGTGAATTTTAAGGGAACATTCATATTTGAACTTTTTTTTGTGATAATGGTTTACTACTGTTCCCTCACTTTTTTTTCCTCTGTGTTTTCTAGTTTTTGTTGCCTAAGATGTGTCATATGTGTGTGTATATATATGTGTATGTTGCAATATATTTGTAACTACTATACGATTTGCTTTACCTCCTCTCTTTCCTATGCCTCCTAAATGCCGTGATGGATCACGAATTGGATGTAGTGAGAGAGACTGTTTCTTCCTATCATTTGGTATAGGATAACATGTACTCACGTATTGATAGATTTTTGGATGGTGAGGCAACTTTGCATTATGTATTAAGATCTGAAATATTGGACATTAATTGGTCTGACCATGCCCAGGTGATGTTACATGTCTCTGAGTCATCTCACTGACTCCAGACAGTCTGTGTTGATTAAGTGACAATTACGTTTTAAAACTGGAAAATAAATTACTAGTTGAAACTACCCTCACTAGTTACTTTAAAGAGAAATTGGATCCGGACCTGGCTCAACAGTTTGGACCGCTCACAAATCTGTTATGAAAGGTAATTTTATTCAATGGGCAACCTACTTGAAAAAAAACTAAATCTAAAAATGTTAAATCTTTGAAAAGAGATTATACAACTTAAATATGGCAAATAACTTTGGCCAATCCCCCTCACTACTGGCTATAATATAGGACATCAAGCAGCAAAGTAACACTATACAATTGGGTCGTTCAAGCTTGATGTTGAAACATTTAAAGCAAATATTCTACTCTAAAGGTAATAAAGCCTCAGCAAGGCTTGCCTCCAAATTGTGACATTAGATGGCACAGTCTAGGATTGAGCGGTAGAAAGATAGTACATCCAACCAATATTAGCAATATAATTTCAGAGTACAATCTGAATTTGGACCCAAACATCACTCAACCTAATTTAAACACAATTAGATATTTTCTAAATAAAATGCAACTATCAAAAATTATTCAAGATAAATCTAAAAGTTTAGATTTAGCTATAACCCAGGATGAAGTGTTGAAGGCAATTAAAAATACTCCTGCTGGTAAGGTGCTGGGCTCCGATGGTTTTAACAAGCACTACTATACGACTTGTTTGAGTATTTTGACTCCACACTTGTCTGTGCTATTTAATTTGTATTGGAATAAAGATGGGATGTCCAGTGAAGCATGGTGCGCCCAGATTGTGACTCTTCCCAAGCCAGGTAAGGATCTAAATAAATTTACTAATTTTATTTTGTTGCTCAACAACAATACCAAATTGTACAACAAAGTTTTGGCCACTAGGTTGGTCCAAAATAATCGCTGATCTTGTAAAAATTGTTCAGGTTGGATTTGTGTTAGGCAGACAAGACACTTGGCACTAGGAAATGTATCAATATGATTCATCAAATTAGAATGGAAGTTCTCTACTTCTTTCATTGGACTCAGAGAAGGAAGTTAGTGGAAGATTTGTGGAAGTCTAAGGTAATTCCTGTTATTAAAGTTATGTTAACAGTGGCCTTAGAGAATAGGTGCTATGACATGCAGGGCCGTCTTTAATAATGGTTGGACCCTGGGCAAGCATTTGCTTGGGCCTCCTGGACCCTGCCTCCCCACTCGCTGACATGCAATCATGTCCTTCACTGCAACGTAATGGCAGAACTAAAGTAGAGAGGGCCATGGTGCAAGACTTTTTTTGCACTACGCCATCGCAAGGGTGGCCAAAAGGTAGATCCCCATCTGTCATGCAACTCCAACAATGCTTTGAAAGCTGGGGCTCTACCATTCCCCCATTCTTGCAAGTTTGTATTTAGCACTGAGCAGTGTTTATGTGTATGAATGTAAAGCATGTTTTTGTATGGAGTATGTTTGTGTGAATGTAGGGGTGTGGTGTTGGCGTTTGAATGCAAGTATGCATTTATGTATAGTGTTTGTTTTTGAATGCAGGGGTGTGTTTATATGTAATTTTGGTGTGTTTGTATATAGTTTTAACATTTCAATGCAGGAGTGTGTTTGTATGTAGTGTTGGTGTTTGAATGCTGAGCTGTATACACACACACTGTGATACACTCACACTGATACAAATGTAGATATACAGAAACTCACGGACAGATACTGGACCAAAGGTGTGTTTCGATCCAGGAATCCCTCTAGTGGTTGTCTGGGAGACAGTCACTGGAGCCAGACTTAGTGTTGCGATGTAGACATTGCAGTTTCTCTGGAACTAATGTTTTACTTTGCAGCACTAAGTGCAATAGGGACACTGCACAGTCACAGACCACTTCAATTAGCTGAAGTGGTCTGGGTGACTACAGTGTCCCTTTATGTTAACTCCCGGCCACATCAAAAGTGAATTCAATAGTATTTGCATTCAGTGTTACCTAGCTCCCGCGGTGTGAGCTGCTGTGTTCTCTGAGTTTACTGAAAGCAGCAGTTTGACTGTTTAACTGTTTGGAACACACACAGCTGCCCGACATGCTTTGCTTAGGTGGAGATAGTTCAATTTACAGCTACCATTATGTCTAATTAGGATTTTCATATAATTAAAGAGGTTTCAAATAAAATAAACAGTTGTAGCATTTTTTCACATAATCGTGGAAATCCTCCAAGTAGTCTAAAATGTTCACTAATGCTCTTTTGTGTGTCTGTAGATAAGAATTAAGAAAAAAAGAGTGTAATGACTTTGAAAGCATTCACAAAGAAAAAAAGTTACCAAAAATAATGACACATTTTCAGTATGATAATTTAGCAAAATGACTCAAGTTATGACATGCATGCCTTGCTTTCTTTTGCTGTTTAGGTCGAAGTTAAGCGACTACAATTGGTTATTTCTTTTTAACCTCAATATGCCAGTAACACTATTTTTTAGCCTAGTTTGTTATTCAAGGCATACCATGTGTTTTATTTTAGTACAAAAGTGGCTTGACTAATCTTACAGTGACCTTGTCTAAACATTACCCTACAGTGATCTGGTGATTACTATGCCTTTTTGTGGACACATGTCTTTGTAATTGCTTATACCAGTGATGGTGAACCTTTGCCACGCATGCCACAGCTGGCATGCCGAGCCCTTTCTGTGGGCACGCGGCCATAGGTCACTGGTAGGGTGCCCAGCGGTGTATTCACCGTGAGGTTAACAAGGCATTTGCCTTGGGCAGCACTGCCTTGTTAGTCTCGTGTCCTGGGGGGCCCAAGAGCTGGCCGGCCACTTTTGGGCCCCACCCGAGGCGGGCCCCAGCTTCTATTGCGGGCTTGCAGCTTAGTGAACCCGGGAGCTGGAATATGACGTCAGACCGGCTCCCAGCATCATTAAGCGATGTGCGAGGGAGCTGAGCAGTAAGATCAGAGCTCCCTCCAGTGGTGTATCCTGGTTTTGTGCTGCCCTAGGCATCGCTTGAGTATTTTCATGCTGTGATATAATGTGCGAGGCAAGGTGTTCAAAAAAAGATAAAGGAACTTTATCCTTTACAAAAGCCTGATTTATCCCTGCTAAGACATGAATCCATCCAAGATCACCATCCAAGGTGATTATCTGCTATACATGAAAAGAATACTCAGCAGTTGTAAATTACAGTGTGTTATAGAATAGCTTTGGTAATAGATAAACAATATATTATAACATAGGTGTCCAAGTTTTTTTCTGTAGTGGGCCACTTCATCAGAAATTTACGTGGGTCACACTAAGTTTTCACTGAGAGAAAATCACGCACTGACACACATACAGATGCAAACACTGATACACATACATATACACATACACAGGTACAGACATGCAGATACCCAGACATAAAGTAGATACATACACACAGACTCACACATACAGACATTTTTCAAATACTTAAACACTGAATGAGAGTCCCAGCTGCCCATAGCCTGGCTCAAACTAGAGGTATGATTAATCCACAGTCACACTCTATGCCTTAGCCATATCAACTCATACCAGTGATGTATGGCTACTAAGGAAGCTTTGACTCAAGAAGCAGAGAGGTGGCAGAAATGTGGCAGCCAGGGACCTTCAAACAGTGTACAGGGAAACTGTCCCTTCCTTGCATTTTTTATATTGTTTTTATATATCCCTATATTCAACAATATGTGTTTGGAAGAAATCATACATGTCTATATCTTGCATCTGGGAAACTCCACCTTGACTCCCTGTCAATCATTGCTCTAAGCTCTGTCCTTTCCACCTTGCAGTCAGCAAAGAGAAAGCATACAGTAAACAGGGAAATTGAAACAATAGTTCTATTTCTCCTCTTTATTTTCCCTGGCTTTGCCTTGTCTGAACTGGATTGCAAAACAATATGCTAAATCTTTCAAGTAAATTTAGAAGAAAACAGACTCTCTTATGAAAAGAAGGTTAACATGAATTATAGGTGACCTTCAATGTTTTATTCAATGGTATAAATTACAAAAAGTGACAGTTCCCCTTTAACATTGAACCATAGGACTGTGTTGGGGGACTTCAGGCATCATGAACACTTCAAAAAGATGAAGAGGTCACAGTGCCTAGAGGGTCCCTTAAATAAAAATGAGGTTTCCCCTATCTGAATACAGTAACATTGCAGCGAGTCATTAGTTTCCCTTTTAAGGGTTCAAGGGATAATACAAAAAGTAGAGCAGCCAGAGGAACACTATCAGAAAAGAAACCTGCATTGTAATCATTAGAAATGTGCAATTTGTTTCGGTCCGAATTTAAATTCGCCCGAATAGCAGAAGTTTTGACATTCGCATGCTTCTAAATGGCCACAGTGCTGAATTGGCGAATTTCCGAAGTCCCGAATTTCTGAAGTGCCGAATTGCCGAAGTGCTGAATTGCCGAAGTCCCGAATTTCGGAAGTGCCGAACCGAATTGCCGAAGTGCTGAATTGCCAAAGTCCTGAATTTCGGAATGCTGAACCAAATTTTTGGCCCATGTACATCCCTAGTAATCATGGGCAGATGGTAACTTCAATAAAAAATATTGGAGATTATCTGACCAGATAAAGCATGTTTAGCATGTTTATGAAGAATGACATTTATATAAATTTAGTTCAACCTATCAAAGCATATTCTGCATGTAAGCTAAGCGGTAGATCCTTCACATTGGCATATTTTGGAACAGGCCTATACATTTTCTTGTGTTGCGTAGCATTCTCTTTTTATTCTATAAACTCTACCATTTTTTAAAAGAACTGGAAGGAGCTCATACAATTGTCATATATTTAGCATAAGTTAGACATGGCAATTAAGAAACAATATGAAGACATGAAGTTGGAAGATCTCTTCATCTTGCAACACTTGACAGGGGGAAAAGAAAGGGAGTCTAGTCACTGTGGCCCCTGCAGGGAGAATGAGGATCTTGTTGCTTTTGCACAATGATGCCAAGTTTTCTGTCATTAGTGGACAGGTCTGAACCTGAGATGGGTGGGTAAGGAAGAGGGTCTGAAGAAACTCCATTAGCTGAGAGGCATGCCCAACAATACAATCTGACCAAGTTTATAGTACATTTATAAACATTTATTACGTATTTGTTACTGTTTGTCTTGCTTTATTTTATATTTGTATACAAAATATATTTCTTTGAAAGAGTTTGCTTGGTGAGAAGATACAGAGACAATTTGGAGGAGCATTTCTTATAGCATGTTCTTGACAGACACTCTGGGCCTGAGGATTTATGGACCAGTAAGGATGCAATGATCCATGTGATTTCTTGTTCTGTAATTTGGAGCAATGTCGGCTCCGGTTGTAATTTAGTTCTGGCATGAAAGGAGTTTAAGAAATTTGCTATTTCTTGAGGAGTGAATTTACTCCAAACACCATAACCCCTTCACTGCTTCGAAGTGGCCATGGTGCCTGGGTCTGTGTGTGGTTATGAAAAAAGTAGGTCCCAAAAGGGGGTCTTTGTCAAGCTTTTTTTGGGTCGAAATGTTGCTTGTGTTGTTCTATTGGTTCCAATAAACGTGTCTTGAAGGATTGTAGTGCCTGGACCCGCTTTTTTCATAACTATGTTCTGATGAGCAAGTGCTGGACTATGGTTCAGTTTAAGCACCACACCAATCAGCATTTTGTTATAGAGATGTATTGTATCAATGCATCCCAATGGGTAATGCTAGTGTCTCCATGTGCAGCAGTGGACTAGGAAGCACCTCAATTGATGGTCTGAGTAACAAGGCAGCGTTTACAGTGCTTAGTATTAGGGACAAGCTAGAGACACTAGTATCACTACAGTAAGCAATAGTGGTTTTGGTGATTATAGTGTGCCTTTAAATCCTTAAGGACCGCGGACGTACTAGGTACACCTGACAAAAACATTACATACTAGGTATCTCCGGCAAATATATTATTTACCCGATCGCCGCCATTCCCCCACCGGCGATCGGTGTTACTCCCGGTCTGGGGGGACTGCCTGACAGCCCAGAAAGTAAATTAAAGTAAAGTAAATTAGGCCCCCCTGGGCCATGTGATCGCTCTAAAAGAGCGATCACATGGCAGCAATAGGCGTCCATAGTGCAGCCTGCAGGGCGACTGCCTGGGCTGTCAGGCAGTCTCACTGCATCTGTAAAATAAAAAAAATAATGTTAATAAATAAAAAAAATACAAAAATATAAATGTGTATATATGATATATATATATATGTATTATATTTATATATAATATGTATATATATCTTATATATATAATATCATACTAAGTGTATTGTTATATTAATATATTAATATAACAATACACTTAGAATTAAATTACACACGTATATATAATAATGATATATATTGTATATATATTATTACAAAATATAAATAAGTAAATAAAAATAAATTTACAAATTTTAAAATAATTTTTACATTGTTTAAAATATTATATATATATACATAATTTTATTCTAACTGTATATATATATATATATATATATATATATATAAATATATTTATATCAAAATACACTTAGAATGAAATTATATATATGAATATATATATATATATATATATATATATATGTATATATAAATAAATTAAAATAATATGAAATATATACGTATACATAATTAATAAGTAATTTCATAAATATACATGTAGACTTCAAATATATATATTTATATATATTTAAATTCTACGTGCATATCTATGTAATATTTTAAAATTTTGCAATTTGATGGACCTGCCTGACAACCCAGGCTGAAAGTCCAGAGAATTTAATTTGCTAGCACTGTATTTAAACCTGTAACTTTCCATGACACCCTAAAACCTGTACATAGAAGGTACTGTTTTACTCGGGAGACAACGCTGAACACAAATATTAGTGTTTCAAAAGAGTAAAACATATCACAGCGATGATATTGTCAGTGAAATTGAAGTTTTTTTGCATTTTTCACACACAAACGGCACTTTCACTGATGATGTCATTGTTTTGGTACGTTTTACTGTTTTGAAACACTAATATTTGTGTTCAGCGAAGTCTCTGAAGTATAACAGTACCCCCCATGTACAGGTTTTATAGTGTTTTTGAAAGTCACAGAGTCAAATATAAGGCTTGACTTTTTGTTTTTTCACATTGAAATTTGCCAGATTGGTTATGTTGCCTTTGAGAGCATATGGTAACCCAGGAATGAGACTTACCCCCATGATGGCATACCATTTGCAAAAGAAGACAACCCAAGGTATTGCAAATGGGGTATGTTCAGTCTTTTTTAGTAGCCACTAAGTCACAAACACTGGCCAAAATTAGCATTCATAATTGTTTTTGGCATTTTTAACACACAAACAAATATAAATGCTAACTTTGACTAAATGGCTACTAAAAAAGACTGGACATACCCCATATTGAATACCCTGGGTTGTCTACTTAAATATGTACATGTGAGGTGTGATTCAGAGAATTATGACAGATAACAGTGTTACAATGTCACTATTGATATATTTTAAAAATATATATTTTGAAACAGCAATATCCTAATTGTACTTATAGCCCTATAACTTGCAAAAAAAAAAAGCTAAGAACATGTTAACATTGGGTACTTTTAAACTGAGGACAAAATTTAGAAACTATTTAGCATGGGGTTTTTTTGGCGGTTGTAGATGCGTAACAGATTTTGGAGGTCAAAGTTAGAAAAAGTGTGTTTTTAAAAGAAATTTCATCATATTTTATAATTTTATTTATAGTAAATTATATGATGAAAATAATTGTGTCTGTAGAAAAACCATTTAATGGCGAGAAAAACAGTATATAATTTGTGTGGGTAAAGTAAATGAGTAAGAGGAAAATTACAGCTAAACACAAACACCACAGAAATGTAAAAACAGCCCTGGTCCCAAATGGTAAGAAAATTGAAAAATGGTCTGGTTACTAAGGTGTTAAGGTTTTCACCTCAAGTCACTGAAGAGAATATTTTGGTGGAGCTATCTTGTTAGAAAATAGGTTTTGATGGAACACCCCAAAGAGGGATGATCACTGCCCTCCATCATTTCATTTTGAAAAAGGACTAGTGTTTCACAAATGCACACATCAGATATATACAAGGTGGGCCAAAATTCAGAATAGGGTTTGAGGAGTCAATAACATTTGTGTTAGTAAACCAATTCCAATGATATTATATACAATGAATGCTTAAAGTATGGAGATTTGTTCGACTTTTAAAAGAGCTCAATTTGCCGCCTCACAATCTTGGGCTTTTTTGATTGCATTGTTTACACGTTTGTTCACATACACCAACTCCTTCAAATATCCTCACAGGAAGTAATTGGGAGCTGAAAGATCAGGCGAACGGGGCGGCTTACAGTGAAGTTGCGGCGGTAAGCTCTTTGTTTTAAAATAATGGACCTGCCATATTGAAAAAAAAAATTCACTATTTGTACTTGTTCCTTCGTGAAATTACCGATGATGGATCTCCCAAGTTATAAGATCTACCTGCAAACATATAAATTAAACTCCTAACAAATAAGTTATTTACTTGGCAAATCCTACTCTGCACTTTGGACCACCCTGAATTAATGAGGTGTGAAAAATAAAGTTAAGAATCCATAACGCTTTTATCCTGCTACTGGGCCCCTCCAATGTAAGTCTCTTTCTATGATTGTTTCACACCTTGCAGACACTGAAGAGAATATATATAGAGAAGAGGATAAATAGAATTGTGTTTTTATTTTATCTCATCATTTGCAATATTTGCTCTGGCATTACCTTGTCTGAACTGGATTATGCTGTAATTTGCTAAGTCTTTAATATATATTTAATAGAAAATGGACCATCTCATGAAATAAAAGTTAACACAAGTTATCAGTGATTTGCAAAGTTTTATTCCAGAGAAGTAAAAGTTCCCCTGAATATTCTTTAAAAAATGGGTAATCATGTCAAGCTGAACACAAAAGACATGGAGCAGTATAGGGTGGGTAGTGACTGGCATGTGTTTAGGCCCTCGGTTAATGAGCTTGATGTAGCACTATGTCATAATGGTCAGCATTAGGCAACAAGGTTTGGATAAATAGTTATTATGTATTGTAAAGATCCAGTGCAGAATATTAAAAAAAAAAAGCACTATAAGTAAGGGTATGGTGCCACAGCGATCTGTTGCCAGAAGGGCCCCAGGTGGGCTCTTGCCAGATATCCTTGCTATTGAGATTTCTGGCGAAAGCTTCCAGTTAATGGCAAACCCTATGATTTGGGGGTTTTAAACAATGTGTGTGAACTTTATGTCTGCCATCACAAAATACACAAGTGACAGGGACATATAGGGTTCATTTGCTGCCATAAAGAGATTATTCAAGTATTTACCTTTAACAGCAGTTCAAAACCAAAAACCAAAATAACAAAGCCTAGTCAGGTGCCAGAAGTCTAATAAGAGAGACCTTCCATTAGAGTAATAGGATGAAACTCGGATCTCTGCTATAGGTTTAAACCAACCGTTTGTATTTAAAATAATATTAAATACAATGCAAAACTAAAAACTGACAGATTTTGTCTGTGTACCAGCACGATACACAGCTGGTGTTGCAAGAACATTGCACGCATTTGTCTGGATCTATGCCAAATGACCAGAAACATTATCGCATACACACTGCTAGCACAGGCCATGATCCTTTTGTCACAAATGTGACATGCAGTTGTGCTCAAAAGTGTGCATACCCTGGAAGAAATTGTGACATTTTGGCATTGATTTTGAAAATATGACTGATCATGCAAAAAAATTTAATTTATTGAAGGATAGTGATCCTATGACGCCATTTATTATCACATAGTTGTTTGGCTACTTTTTAAATCATAATGATAACAGAAATCATCCAAATGGCCCTGATCAAAAGTTAACATACCCCTGAATATTTGACCTTGTTACAAACACACTAGGTGACATACACCAGTTAAAATGGCAATTAAAGGCTAATTTGCCACACCTGTGGCTTTTTAAATTGCAATTAGTGTTTGTGTATAAATAGCCAATGAGTTTGTTACCACCCATATGGATGCACTGAGCATGCTAGATACTGAGCATTGGGGAGCAGAAAAGAACTGTCAAAAGACCTGCGTAAAAGGTAATGGAACTTTATAAAGATGGAAACGGATATAAAAAAATATCCAAAGCCTTGAAAATGACAGTCAGTACTGATTAAGCACCTATCAAGAAGTGGAAAATTTGTGAATCTCTTGATATCTAGTCAAGGTCAGTTAGACCAAGAAAGATTTCAGCCACAACTGCCAGAAGAATTGTTTGGGATACAAAGAAAAACCCACAGGTAACCTCAGGAGAAATACAGGCTACTCTGGAAGAAGACGATGTGGTTGTCTCAAGAAGCACAATATGACGAAACTTGAACAAAAATGAACTGCATGGTCCTTGACACACCTCACAGCTTCTGGCACACTGTAATTTGTAGTGACGAGACCAAAATAGCACTTTATGGTCACAACCATAAACAGTATGTTTGGAGAGGAGTCAACAAGGCCTATAGTGAAAAGAATACCACGCCCACTGTGAAGCATGGTGGTGGCTCACTGATGTTTTTTGGGGGGTGTGAGCTCTAAGGGCACAGGGAATCTTGTGAAAATTGATGGCAAGATGAATGCAGCATGTTATCAGAAAATACGGGCATACAATTTTTCTTCCTCATTAAGGCTGCACATGGGACGCTCTTGGACTTTTAAGCATGACAATGACCCTAAGCACAAGGTCAAGCTGAGCCTCCAGTGGTTAAAGGAAAAAGGTAAATGTTCTGGAGTGGCCATCATAGTCTTCTGACCTTAATATCACCGAGCCACTCTGGGGAGATCGCAAACGTGCGGTTCATGCAAGAGGACCAAAGACTTTGCATGACCTGGAGGCATGTTGCCAAGAAGAATGGGTAGATATACCACCTGCAAAAATTAGGGGCCTCATAGACAACTATTACAAAAGACTGCACGCTGTCATTGATGCTAAAAGT